TCATGAATAATTGTATAGTATGGAATATTGATGAGCACGTAGATTATTGCTCAGCCCCCACAATTACCATTTTCAGGTTACCATGCCGGGCGGGACTCAAGAGGGACTAGTTGAATCATTCCCTCATTTTAATATAAACCCTTGGATCTTATAGATTGATCTAGACCCTTTGATTTGGGCAAAGAACATATTTATATCATGGGTATCAATGTAGACAAGTTTTGTTTTTGTAAAAGCAACCGGAGGTCACCCGTCTTCACCGTTTCACCCTCTTCAAACTCAAAATCTCATCAGAATTTTTTTTTTTTTTTTAAAGAACAAAACCCCACGACCGATCGATTCTGTCCGAAAGAGAGAAAAAAACTCAAGCTTTCCGGCTTATCTTCAAACCACGATCGTGTCCACTCCACCCACTATGGCCATAATTCTTTTTCCTTATAACAACTGGTTCATTATTATTCAAGTTTCTAGTCTCAACATTGAAGTTCGGAGATCAGGAACAACAAAGGTAATCTTGAATCTCATTGTAGTTTAGAATCAATTTTTTAGTTTGAATATTTTTTTTGATATTGAATATGATTTGGCTTTGGCCAACTCTAGAAATTAAAATAGTTGAATTTTAGGAGAAAAATTAAAATATTCAAACCTCATTTCAAAGGCCCAAATCAGGGGATTAATTGTCAAAGTTTTCATGAAACAAAGTTTTCTCAATGGTGAAGGGTTTTTTTGGTCGGCCACTTTTTGCAGGCCGAGTTCGATTATGATGAAGAGGACCCGAAGCTAGTCCTGAACAACGCCACTTTACAGCTGAGCTGGGATATTATAATTGTAAATATTCTTCAACTTATCTTTTTTTTTTTGTGGTGTTCATGTAATTTTGATGAATATGCAAATCAATAAGTGTGTGTCTTGTTACTCTGCGATGCCTAATGGTTAATGGTTGTATGATTTTCAGACTTGATATCTGATGGGATAATATGATCTTTTTATTTGCGGGTTTAGTCCTCTGTACATGTCATTTGTTTCAGACATTTTTTTATAAATCTCACGGTTACTAAACTTCGAAACATGTGCTGCGGATAAGTCTCATTTTGGATAGGTCTCTATTTTTTTTGCCATTTGTCGAGTTGGGCTGTTTGTATAGGTTCGGTGAAGTTTTTTCGAACAAGTTGTTTTTGGGGAGTTACTTGGAATTGATTGTTTAAGGTGTTGATAGGTTGGGATTTGATGATATGTTATGTACGTACTCTTTGCTTAAATTTGAAATATTGGTCTCTGTTTGGACATGTTTTTGCGTATTTTAGTTGATTGTCGGGTTGGGCTGAGCTGTGACTGGTTGTATATGTACGGTGAAGTTCTTCGAACACACTGTTTTTTGGGAATTTCTTGGAATGGATTGTCTTAGGTATGTGGACAGGTTTCTTTGTTATGAATTTGTGCAAGGTTTTTTTTTTTTTTCATGAAAGTGTTCTGTTGGATTTTGTGCATGAGCTGCATGAGCATATTTATTTGGTTGGGTCTGTTGCTATTGGGCTATAGTTGTGCATAAGCTGCATGATGTAAGTTCTTGTTAATGTTAAGAAAGGTTTCCAAAAGTTTCTTATTTTTATAAAGGAATTTGAGAAAACAATTTGTGAACGTTTGCAAAAGGTGAAACAATACGGACAGGTTTTGGAAGAGAAATATCGTACAGCCAATTCTGTCATTTAAAAGCCAACTTGTGCGTCTGTGTCAATATAACAGAAGGTGGGTGCTTCCCATTTTTATTGTTGCCCCATGGTTTGAGGGTGAAACAAAAAATAAAGCACAATTTATCCTGCAAGGATAGCTAGCTTGGGAAATAATATGCTACTCCAAAGGTTAAAACCAAAAACCCCGTGTATTGAAAGTGTTCAACACAGTATAGTTTCAACTTATGTATCAGAGACATCAATAGTAAAGTTCCAGCCTACAATTTAAGTGGTGTACACTTTACAAGAAGAACATAGTTCACGCATTGAGTTGAAGATATTTATGTCATAGGCTATTGGAACTAATTACAAATCTTCTTTCTGCGGGTCAATTGACAGTGTTGGGTGACCTTTGAGATTACCACTGAACATATCCTGGTGAACATAAATACATAATCAGAAAATTGGAAAAGAGCTGGCATGTATATTTGGTACCTTTTTTTGTAATATTTTTGCACTTGATAAGTTAATATCAATAACATTTAATTGCATTAAAATAATTTTCTAAATATTATATAAAACAAGTAAAATTTAAAGGGAAGTACTATCTTCAATTTCACAAAATACAATATTAAATATAAAATATTATAATATAAATTTGTTACAGTTCTAAATGTATGTTCTTTTCATATTACTAATTACATAACTACATGTCATAATAAACAAAGTTGATATAACATAATTATATAAACTTTACATGAAACAAATAATATGGCATATAAAACTACTCAAATGCCTTTTATCGGAAAAACGGGGTATCAAGTAGGACGGATGAGAAAAAAAATAACATGAAAAAAAAAAAACAAAAAAATAAATTTTGCACATGAATTTTTTAACATAATAGCAAATATTGAAATATAAAAAGCATATTATTATTTACTTCTATTTTTAATTTATATTTAGATAAATTGCTAGAAATAAAATATTTGAGCATGCTAATAAATTGACTAGAGAAAATAATAGTACTAATATCAAATTTTATTTTATTATACTATGAATCTATAAATCATGTAGTAAATAATTAAGTTAAAAAGTGTCTTTTATAAAGTAAAGTTTAACAACTATTTTCAATAATATTTTTATCGAAAACGTAAGAAAAACTTATAAACTGAGAAATAATAAAATCTACTCTATAATCAAATAGTGAATAACATGTTAAAAAATTAAATACGAAGACATATTGTCAAATAGATGAATATTGATTGCTTGAGAGATCTTTTATATGTGATATATTTATAATAGTAAAACTATAATAACAATGCTTAGTAAAAGAGATAATAATAAAATTTATGGTAAAAGTTTAATTATGCACAATAACAAATAAAATTTAGTTGACTAAAAGTTGAACGTAATTGCCAAATAAATTAAAAAAATATGTCAAACTTTTAATAGTAATCATTATCACATTTGATACGTGTTTATATCATGATGAACTATATACAATATAGTGTTTATATCACATTTGTTAGAGTTTTTTTATGACATAATACTATCAACTTTGGCTTTATTTAATTTGTATGGAGTTTTGTGTGTGTGATTTGAGTTGTTTAAATGGTTTGTAGCTTATATTGCAAGATGGGAACGAAAAGGCCTAGAAACAGTAATCTTAAAAAAGCCGAAACAATCAATGTAAGGTTCTGTATAATGCATTTATTATTCTTATAGAAGCAATTAAGCATATTATATTTAGTTATAATTAAATATTTTTCTCGTAGGTTGGGGTTATAGTTGAAGATGGAGCCTCAAAGTTGGAGAAAAAGATAATTATTCTTGAAGAAAAGGTGAATGATATGGGTCGTCACATTGCCAATATGGATTTGAAAATTGATATGTTGATTGATTTGGTTAATTCTCTCAAAGGCTCGATTGTAGATGAAATTATTGAGAAGTTAACATCAAACAATCAATCTAGCATACGAAAAGCAAATCATTCAAAAGAGGAACCCGAATCTCGTGAAAAATCAGTTGCCACCGCTAAAAAATTTCGTGATAATTTTGAATTTGAGGCATCTATGAGTGGAATGGGTGGGATAGGTAGAAAAAAATCACAGGAGGTGCATATAGTGTTAAGTGATTCATCTTCTTATGCTTCATCCAATGCTGCTTCTGAAGAAGTTTCTTCCAAACTTTTGAATTCGAAGAATGACACCAAGAGTCCTTTGAAGAGTCATGCAAAGGTAATATATTATTTCACATGCATGAATTATCTTACAAGCTACATCTAGAAATTTTGTTAAATGTTTCTCGCTATTCAGTCTCGTTTTATGATTTATTTTTGTATTAGGGTGTTGAAGAGGATTTCAGTGTTGAACAGAAAAATGTTTTGAAGTACATGTTTGATATAAACCTTAGCCACAAGTAAGAATTTATTTTTATGCACTATATTTTTATCATTAAAATGCATATAAAAACTATTGCTCCTTTCTTTTTAAATTCGCTAGTGAAACGATCGTGCGGATGTCAGGCGAATTTGGACAAAGAATGCAGTTAAAACAACTGCAGACTTGACAGTGGCTAAGTGCAGAAGTAAGTTTATTTATGTTAAAATCTTATAATGATTGATGGTAATTGTGTTGATTTGAATTGTAGATTATAAATCTTTACGCTTGTATGCTGACGTGGGATAAGCGAAATGATGCCTCTAAAATACCAGTTGAAAATTGGTTTTTGCCAACCTATGTCTCGGTAAGTTATCGATATTACACTTACATTATTATTTACTTGAAGATATATATTTGATTAAACATTTTGTGATGCAGCAATTCATTACCAAAATGAAGAAGGGTTGTGATGTTGGTTGCATATATCGCTATTTCTTGCGTGAAGACAAATATGGAGGGGATATTCAGAAATGCGAAAAGGTAACTTTTTTCATAATTTTTATATACTGTTGTCAAGTTAGCTAAGTAAATTGCTTGAATAAATGCTTACTTTCATTTTGAATTTTTAAATGCATAGATCTTCATTCCAATGAACCCTGGAGATCATTGGTACTTGTGTGTAGTCGACATAATCAATGAGGAGGTTATGATATTGGACTCACTTATGCCGAAAAATTGTAATGAGCGTATTTCAAGTGCTAAAGTTGTGGTAATTAGTTTGAAAATTTTTGTCTTTTTTTTTTTTGTGAAGAAGTTTTAGTACTTGTGAGTATTTATAAAAGTTCGTTGTCATCAGCTCAAGTGTTTGCATGAGGCTTTAGAGATTGGATGTGGTACAACATATAGTATCAATATTCCTTTATTTCCTACGAGAATGGCTCAATGGGCACCGCAACAAAAGAATCTGTAAGTATGAGATTATGTATAATAAGATAATCTATATGTTGGAAATACTATACAAGGTTGTGTTTGGAACGACAAAACTGAATTGTCGATTACATTGTTGTATTGCAGTTATGATTGTGGATTATTCACAATAAGGTTCATGCAACTATACGACAAGCTACGGGCCGGGATGCATTTAAGTATTGATAACTCATATTTGGAGAGAAGGAAAATTGCTATTGAGATATTCTACCATCAAGCAAATGAAACAAAGGAAGAGATACTTAGAAAAATAGTACACTCTTCCGAAGCTGTGTGTCCTGCTGCAACGCCTTAATCCTCACTGACAGCTCGGACTTCTGCTCCTTGTAGGCCTTTAATGTTATTATTGTTTTTAATTGAAGTATTAATTTTTACAATGCCACTTAACTCTTTAATCTTGTTTTTACTTGAATTACAACGTATGCTTTTCTATTTTTTTCAGCTAGTGTTGTAATTGTTCGAAGCAACAAGCAAAGAGAGCAGACCGAGAATTTAATTTGGCGAAGTCTTATAAGATCTTTTTATTGGTTTTTTAAAGTTTTTCCTTTTATTATAAACTAAATTGGAACATTCATCGACTGACCCTGTGGCTATTTCGCTACATTTTGTTGAGTTTTTTTCTTTTGAATTGTTTGTTCTGAAGATGATTCGACATTATTTTTAACTAATGTTTTCTTATCTCACCGCCGGCTTGTCTACTTGTTACCTTTTCCTTTACTCAACATTTTACTTTACCATGCTTCTGGTTCGTTTGGAAGGGAAGTGAAAAAGTAACGATTTTGGAGAAATTTGCATGTCTATCTTGGGGTTATGTTGGTTCGTAGAGAAGTAGCAGCTGTGTAAATTTTTCACTACCTGCTAAAAATACCATTTTCCTATTTTGTTACCGGTTAATAATACCCCAGCTTCCATTGTTAGATGTTCTTACTATGTCTTCTTTTATTTGAGTAGTTAAGTTGCTTTTGCTTATGGTAGATTATGATTTCATTATTGTTTCTTGGAAATGAAATGTGGTTGGGGTGTGAGAACGAGTTGCGAATTGTGATACTCGGTTTTGTTTAGAGCAACAATAGTGAACTTTCTAACAATGTTTTCTGCTTGTAGAGTTCACCATTTATCCTAAACCATCTCCTGCCACTCTAAACAATACTAATTTATATTATGCTGGTGCTTAAAAGTGTAATATTTGCTAGCTTAAGCTTCTTGGCTGTCATCACAACTGCCAAAGCCAGCTTTTTGAACAGGTCTGGTGTAGATTGGGAAGTGCCAAAGAAGGAGAGAGCAGGCAGCAGTGGTGAGCAAAGTCCAGCTTTTAGCTCTCTATTTTAGTTTAACTGTAAACTTTTATTGATTAATTAGTTAGCCTTCTAATGGAAGATCTGGCAGACTGAAAGCGCCTGCACTTTAGCTAAAAATGTCTATGGCGTAAAACAAGACTTCAGTCTCGGGCCAGGCAGGAAAGCCAAGAAGGGAGAAAAGCAAGTCAGTCAAAAAAGTCGCTTTGTTTTTTTTTTTTTTTAAACCAAAAGGCCGGTTTTTTTTTTTTTACGAAAAAGTCGCTTAGATTTATGTAATTTTGTGCATCATATTTTTCAATGCTTCTTGCAAGATATAGCTGTGGAGTTGACTTTTCAGGTTTACACCGATAAAAGAAAGAAAGAACGACAAAAGTTTAGAATTGTTATGAACTTATATATTTACTAACTTGTTATGTTAATTTTTCAACCATGTTTTTAGTTTATGAATTGTTGTATGCTTTAATATGGGAAAGAGTCATTTATATTCATAGTGGTTGACTCTATTTTTTTATGTGGTTTGGAGAAAATGCTTAAATATTGTTGTAGGTTTCTGTATAGAAGAAAATTGGCTATGGAAGTAACTATAATGTTGACTTTCTTTAACCAGTTGATAACTGGCTTCAGTAAATTCATCATTATCTTCCATTGCTTTAAACTGATTATTATTCATGCAAGTACACCCAATAAACAAACAAACATTAGCACACTAATACTATATTATTAACAACATTACATCACACAATCACGGGCTAAAGCTTTAATGAGATGAAATATAGCAAATTGAGCATTACATCCGGGCTAAAGCTGATAATGAAATATAACAAATGGAGCATTTTATTCTAGATAGTCAACAGCTATTGCACCTGACAAACTCTCACATTTTTTTTCCAAGTTTTATGGCAGCTCTGGTGCATCACTCCGAAAAAAACCAGTATTTTGAGCATTTCCACTTAGCCCTTCAGCTGCAAACCAAAATCCAACAACATAAGCTTAACAAACTGGTATAATAAAAGAGGAACACATATATGAAATATAGGGAAAGTCCCTCAGCATTGGAAAGAAATTACTACCTCAAATGAGTTAAGTACTGCAACAAAGTAGTCAAGGAATCAGGTATAATCTGCAGTAGAAAGATGACAATGGAATAACACCTCAGTTAACGACGACGCGCAGGGAAATAACTTACAATACTCGATGAATATTAGAAATTCCCAAAGTTTTTCTTAACAGAATATTTGCATCGCTTTTACAAAATGTCGATTCAGATAACAGAATTTAATGCTTTGAATGCACCAATAAACTCAGAAGCTACCGGTGGCTGCACATATGCAACAATGGCTACAGAAGCTGCTTGGTCTTGATCAGAATGTAATCTGCTATAACTTCTTGTACCAATAAGTCCAGATGCAGATGAGAGCTGTTCCAAAGGAGGTTGCTCACCAATAAAAACATTAGGATAATATTCAACTCTTGCACACGCAACATATCCAATATGAGAAAGAGTATAATATAGATAGCCTTATGCCAAAACCTTTATGAACTTACATTAAGATCAATCCCCTCACCACCACTTCCAGATCTTGAGACTCCAAAAGAATTAAGCACAGCAGAAACAATCTACAAAACCAATAACCAGAAATATAATTGTCTATTTGAGTTACAATGCCTTGCAAAAATTCATATTTTACCCGATTTAGATCAGGAAAAGTTCCGTCTCCCTGTTCTGATATATTGAAGGATCCAACCATCACACTTGTACCTACTCGTTTGCCTAAAATGTGTCCAGTGCTTGACGTTGGATCAGGTGCTGCAGACACAATGAGCTTGGTATTCAGCTTAATAGTTGCTTGGCCTTGAAATATAGCATGAAAATTTTAGTGAAAGTAGTGTCCCCAAATTGAGGATTCAAGAAACAGAATCCGCCTATACCCGGGCTTCGACCCGGCACAGGATTCTGCTGCTGTTGCAGCTGGTAAGCCATAATCTCTAACTTCAACTAATTACATAAAATAAAGTTCCCTTTTTTTTCTCTTTATTATTGTTTTCTGTGAGCTGCTTCTAACAATATTATACCATTGAATGTCACTCACCCTGCAAGCAATAAACATAGGCACATACACATTATATTATCAGTTGACATAAAAACTAGAAACTCAACTCACATGCTGATGGTCTTCTATGCATTAAGGTAGAATATTATTTATGAGGACTTCTACACATATGGATCAAATGCTAGAAACTTGACTCTAAAACAATGGTTCTTAAAAATATGCAGAAGGCAAAACTATTAAATTTGTACACAAATGTTGACGAAGAGACATTCCGTTCAACAACAGATGCTAGATAGAGATTTCACAAACTAGGCCACAAACCACCAACTCTAAGTTCTCTTTCCTGGAATACATTTCATAAAGTTTATAAGCCCAATTGGAAGCATAAGCATAAATGTTCAACTGCGGGATCTTGCCCAGAGTAACGTACCATTAATAGGGATAAAATATAAATATTATTCCTGAACTACTCGATATCCAAAGGATAACAGGAAAAAAATAATCCAATTATGCTATACAACATTCCAGAGGAAACTAAGTCGGAACGGGTAACAAGGATACAATGAGGAAAAAGAAAGTAAAGCAGAAAGTCCTAATCATCCAGAATATTTGAGATAACAATGGAAAGGAAAAGAAAAGGTGGAAAGACATAATCATCTGGAATATCTGAGATGCAAATGGAGTATATTACCATATTGTTTTGGCTAGTTCCATGTTAGAAGACATGAAATATAGGTTGATAATCAGTTCAATTCGGAATTCATTAGATGAATCCGTCACATTTCAAATTGAAAACAATACATTACAGTTCACCATGCAGGGAAGAACTGATAACCAAAATATACTACGTGACCTTTTGAGACAGCAGATATATCACTGTGAACAAGGGAGATTACATGTAGAAACGAATAACATAAACTAAGAGCTCAATTGTGTGAGATTTTATATGAACAATACAAGAATTTATATTGCCTTCAACATGCTTCTTCTGAACGAGAAGATCAAGGATGCCAAGTAATAACTCGAACAGCCTGCAACACCATCAGTACATATACTATTCCAATTTTTAAGAAACAATTGACATTGTGAAACTTCTTGCTCCATTGTCAAGAGGAAATTACAAACTACGAATTCTCCATAAAGTGGTCCAAATTACAGAAACCTAAGAAGTCACAAGGCATTGCTGCACAAACCAATATAAACAAATTTAGATGAACGATTAACATGACACCACTTAACCAATATAAATCTATTTGCAGGGTCACTGAGATTAAAAACGGTCAAATCGATATGGGCACACAAATGAAGATTCAACTTCAAATTAGACAAACAGAAGAAGTTATTTAGCCAGCAAAACGTGCCGACGAGCATTAAATCCTTATACTGTAAGAGAGGGTAATATCATGCTCTAAAAACTTGGAGCCTCTCATTCTTCAAGTACTTCCTTTCATCTCTGATCGCGAGCTAATCCATTTCCTCTCATCTCTAATATCCAGATATGTCATGAAAAAAAAAACAACCAATAAAAAAGTATATAAAATAACAATAAGAACACCAGCTTGGTAGAAATGAGTTGGATACACGTGTAGAGACAATTATAGAGCGGTTAACTGCTGAAAACCTCAAATTTTACCAGTCCTACAGACAATCACATTCTTGGACTATGACTACGACGTTCATCCAAACCCTGCATTTCGAAATGTAAAGGTTAATAACGATTTCATAATTTCTATAGCATCATAAGCATTACCATGGAAGAATTGTTACCCTTCTCTCCATTCTGATGCTTGTCTGACTGGAAGTGCCAAATTGAGCCTCCACACTACTTGGATCAAACGAAAACAACAAATCCTGTTTCATATAGGTTAGCATATGGAAAGTTTAATACTATATTGGTAAAATGAAGTTAAGTTCGTAAATTCTTTTATCTGGAAGCTTAAGTCATTTCCAGAGTATTGATTAGATATAGAAAAAGCATTTGGTTGTTCATTCACATGGCTAGAGTTTGCATATTCACAACTGTGATATCCACTCCTTAAACTGGCATGAAAAAAAGATTGATCTTGGCTATTGTCCTCGCCTGAAATGTCGAAATCCAATGAATCTTTGTCATCTTCTCGGGATTTCATCTTGGGGCATGTTGTTTTATTGTGTCCAGGAAGCCTACATAAACATTTTAAAAATTTAAAGAATATGTTAGCAAAGGTTACATGGATGTTTCACAATGTGTGTAAGGTCTGATAATAGATTTTAATAATAATAATAAGTGACTTCTAAGTATAGGTGAATATGAGAAAATACCTGCATTTTCTGCACCTTCTTGGTCTTTGTTTGGAATGTAAACCACTTGATCCTTTAGTTTTGTAATTATTGGATCACGCACACCAAACTGATGCTTTTCATTTTTCTTTGAAGCATCAGTTTCATTGTCAGAAGGACAGGAGTTGGCATAAATTTCATGCATTCTATTTGTCACTCGAGCGATTGTGTCACATAATTCGCCATATCCTTCATCGCACATTGAGGCATAGTAACACATCTTGTTACAAAGGGAAATCAAAGAACCATAGCGTGCATTTTGAGTGACATCTTTACGAATTTCTGGTTCTTTTTTGTTGAGCTCGTTTTCCTTAGCATCCCGAGTCCACCTCTTCATTACACAAGTTGAAGGAATCTCTTTTATATGTTCGGCCTTCATCACTGCAAACATATGAGCACAAGGCCACCCAACCGTCTCGAATTGCAAACAAGAGCACTCAAATAAACGAGAATCTTTATCAAATTTTACGGTAAGTGCAAGATCAGGCTTTGAATACTCATATACAGAGTACATCTTGGTTGAACCAAATTCATGCTCAATTTTGCTCAATAATACAGCTTCCTTTTTTAGTTCTTCACGAACAATAAAGAACATATTTCTGGTCAAAGAATCTGCCGCATGTTTCTCGATATCTTTCAAATGAGTACTAAGTACAGGAGAGCTATTTACTGTTACAGCATTTGCCTTCGCTTCCATATACCTTAGCCTTGCCAAAGCCAAATCAAATGATCTAACAAATTCATATAACCTCATTTTAAGATTCACATGCTTCTTAAAATATGCATTCATACCTTCACACCGCTGAGTGCATTTCATATTTCCGAAAAAATGTCCCCTTAAGTATGCTTCTGCCCACTTTGAACGTTTTGAATACGTCTCATTTACCCATGAATTATTTTCAACTTGTTGCTTTTGGATACAATCCTTCCAGCTCCTTTCAAATTCTTCTTTGCTGCAAATTTTATCCATACATTTGTAGAAGGCTTGACAAAAGCACGTGGAATGTACATTTACAGCCACATTCCGTTGAAGGTGCCAGCTACACAATCTATGTCTTGCCTCTGGAAGAACATTCTCTATGGCTAGTCTCATAGCATTATCCCCATCTGTGATAACTGAAATAGGTTTTTTACCTCCCATTGCCGCTACAAAGGTCTCTAAGACCCAAACGTATGTCTCTTCAGTTTCATCTGACAACAGTGCAGCCCCAAAAATTGTAGTCATGTAATGGTTATTTACACCGGCTAATATGACCAGAGGTTTCCGATAAGAATTAGTCCTGTAGGTCGTATCAAACACCAACACGTCTCCAAAATATTGGTAATCTGACTGGCACCTAGATTCAGCCCATATCAAACGGCGTAATCGATTGCTTTCGTCGACATCAAACTTGAAGAAAAATGATGGATCCGAATCTTTTTTTTGCACTGAAATAGGCCAAAGCACTTTCCGCATCTCCGTCTCGTATTTCTGCTTTTCGTTTGGCGTAGATACAGTTATACGAATCTTTCAAGGTAAAGCCAACTTTGTGGTATCCACCCGCTCGATGTGCAAAAAAATTCATTATCTCACTCGTACGCCAACCGACTTCATGCATGGAAATCGCTTCTACCAGATCAGACTCTTTCACCGATCGATGGGAGAACAAAAACGATACGCCCTCCTCAGTCATGAGTTCGTGGTTGTGTTTCTTTACAAATTCAGTGACAACAAACTTCTTTAGCCTCTTGTTGTACTTGACACGAAATAATGCTGGGCAACCAACTCTAGTCATGGGCCTGGGTTCTCTTGTTTTATCTTCCTTTTCTAACCACTTTTATCACGGAACCCTTCCTTAGAACAAACCCATTTACGCATATCAATCATACCCGAGCTTTTGTTGCGTCGTACATCATCCTTTCTGATTGAAAATCCCGTACATTTGGCATAAAAGTTATAAAAATCCCCAGCTTCCTCCTCAGATTCAAACATTTTTTCTTTTATATTATTTCTATCTACGTCAAAATCATCAATCCATTCTGTATTATACCGAAAATGTTGTTTATCTTTCGGCGGTATTCCGGAAGTCCCAACATTGTCCATCTTCCTGAACATCACAAAAGAAGGTTCACTAAACATAAAGTTCCAAAATTTAATTTGAGAAAATATACTATCTAAGACTATGAGTCCAATGTTGCAGCCATTCGTGTGGTTAATATGTGTTCGACATCAAAACAAAACAACTAAAGTATCATTTGTTCATTTTTTTTTAATTAGTCCATAGAATTCCAGAAAAATTGTTGCATTTGTGACATAAAAACTTTGGAAACAAATAAAACAAAACCCAACAAAAAAAATGTTATGTAAAAAATATATAACAACCCATTGAAAAGAAGAACATCGAGCATTTCCCTTTAAAACACAGGCATAAATATGTTGCCACCAATACAACCAAAG